CCTCCCCACCCTTCCATTCCCTAACCAACCCACCCTTCCCTAACCAACACACCCTTCCCTTCCCTTCCGTTCCCTTCCCTAACCTACCCACCCTTCCCTTCCATTCCCTTCCTTTCCCTAAGCTACCGACCCTTCCCTTCCCTACCCTTCGCTTCCCTTCCCTAAATTACCAACCCTTCCCTTCCCTTCCCTCCCCCCTTCCCTTCCCTTCCCTAACCTACCCACACTTCCCTTCCCTTCCCTACCCACCCTTCCCTTCCCAAACCTACCCACCCCTCTCTTCCCTTCCCTTCACTAACCTACCCACTCAACCCTTCACTAACCTACCCACTCAACCCTTCTCTCCCCCTTCTTCCCTAACCTACCCACCATTCTCTTCCCTTCCCTTCCCTAACCTACTCACTCTTCCCTTCCCTTCCCGTTCCTTCCCTTCCCTAACCTATGAACACTTCTCTTCCCTTCCCTTCCCTTACCTACCCAATGTTCCATTCCCTTCCCTAACCTACCCACCCTTCCCTTCCTTTCCGTTCCCTTCCCTAACCTACCCACCCTTCCCTTCCCTACCTTACCCACCCTTCCCTTCCTTTCCCTTCCCTTCCCTAACATACCCACCCTTCTCTTCCCTTCCTTTCCCTAACCTACGCACTCTTTCCTTCCCTTCCCTAACCTACCCACCCTTCCTTCCCTTCCCACCGCACCCTTCCCTTCCCTTCCCTTCCCTACCATACCCACCCTTCCCGTCCCTTCCCTTCCCTAACCTACCCAGCCTTTCCTTCCCTTCCCTTCCTTTCCCTAACCCACCCACCCTTTCCTTCCCTTCCCTTATCTTCCCTAACCTACCACCCTTCCCTTCCCTAACCTACTCACTCTTCCCTTCCTTTCCCCTCCCTTACCTACGAACCCTTCTCGTCCCTTCCCTTCCCTAACATACCCACTCTTCCCTTCCCTAACCTACCCACCCTTCCCTTCCCTTCCCTAACCTACCCACCCTTCACTTCCCTTCCCTTCCCTAATCTACCCACCCTTCCCTTCCCTAACCTGTCCCCCCTTCCCTTCCTTTCCTTTCCCTAACCTACACACCCTTCCATCCTTTCCCTTCCCTTACCTACCCACCCTTCCCTTCCCTCCCTAACCTTTCCCTTCCCTTCCCTTCCCCTTCCCTTCCCTTCCCTAACCTACCCATCCATCCCTTCCCTTCCCTTCCCTAAACTACCCACCCTTCCCTTCCCTAACCTACCCACCCTTCACTTCCCTTCCCTTCCCTAATCTACCCACCCTTCCCTTCCTTTCCCTTCCCTTCCCTAACCTGTCCCCCCTTCCCTTCCTTTCCCTTCCCTAACCTACACACCCTTCCGTCCTTTCCCTTCCCTTACCTACCCACCCTTCCCTTCCCTCCCTAACCTACCCATCCATCCCTTCCCTTACCTTACCTACCCACCCTTCCCTTCCCTTCCCTTCCCTAAACTACCCACCCTTCCCTTCCCTAACCTACCCACCCTTCACTTCCCTTCCCTTCCCTAACCTACCCACCCTTCGCTTCCCTTCCCTTCCCTAATCTACCCACCCTTCCCTTCCTTTCCCTTCCCTTCCCTAACCTGTCCCCCCTTCCCTTCCTTTCCCTTCCCTAACCTACACACCCTTCCGTCCTTTCCCTTCCCTTACCTACCCACCCTTCCCTTCCCTCCCTAACCTACCCATCCATCCCTTCCCTTACCTTACCTACCCACCCTTCCCTTCCCTTCCCTAAACTACCCACCCTTCCCTTCCCTAACCTACCCACCCTTCACTTCCCTTCCCTAACCTACCCACCCTTCACTTCCCTTCCCTTCCCTAATCTACCCACCCTTCCCTTCCTTTCCCTTCCCTTCCCTAACCTGTCCCCCCTTCCCTTCCTTTCCCTTCTCTAACCTACACACCCTTCCGTCCTTTCCCTTCCCTTACCTACCCACCCTTCCCTTCCCTCCCTAACCTACCCATCCATCCCTTCCCTTAACTTACCTACCCACCCTTCTGTTCCCTTCCCTTCCCTAACCTACCCACCCTTCCTTTCCTTTCCCTTCCCTAACCTACCCACCTTTCCCTTCCCTTCCCTTCCCTTACCCACCCACCCTTCCCTTCCCTCCCTAACCTACTCACCCTTCCCTTCCTTTCCCTTCCCTAACCTACCCACCCTTCCCTTCCCTTCCCTAACCTACCCACCCTTCCCTTCCTTTCCCTAACCTACCCACCCTTCCCTTCCCTTCCCTTCCCTTCCCTAACCTACTCACTCTTCCCTTCCCTTCCCCTCCCTAACCTACGAACCCTTCTCTTCCCTTCCCTTCCCTAACCTACCCACTCTTCCCTTCCCTTCCGTAACCTACCCACCCTTCCCTTCCCTTCGTGTCCCTTCCCTTCCCTAACCCACTCACTCTTCCCTTCCCTACCCTTCCCTAACCTACCCACCCTTCCTTTCCCTTCCCTTCCCTACCCTACCCACCCTTCCCTTCCTTTCCCTTCCCTTCCCTAACCTACCCACCCTTCCATTCCCTTCCTTTCTCTAACCTACCCACCTTTCCCTTCCCTTCCCTACCCTACCCACCCTTCTCTTCCTTTCCCTTCCCTAACCTACCCACCCTTCCCTTCCCTTCCTTTCTCTAACCTACCCACCCTTCCCTTCCCTACCCTACCCACCCTTCCCTTCCTTTCCCTTCCCTACCCTACCCACCCTTCCCTTCCTTTCCCTTCCCTAACCTACCCACCTTTCCCTTCCCTTCCCTTACCTACCCACCCTTCCCTTCCCTCTCTAACCTACCCACTCTTCCCTTCCCTTCCCTTCCTTTTTACCTTGCCTTCCCTTCCTTTTTACCTTGCCTTCCCTTCCTTTTTACCTTGCCTTCTCTTCCTTTTTACCTTGCCTTCCCTTACCTTTTACCTTTCCTTTCCTTACCTTTTACCTTGCCTTCCCTTACCTTACCTTTTACCTTGCCTTCTCTTACCTTACCTTTTACCTTGCCTTCCCTTCCCTTCCCTTACCTTTTACCTTACCTTATCTTACCTTACCTTTTACCTTCTGAGATGGAATCTTGCTCAGGCACCCAGGCTGGAGTGTCGTGTCACTTCCACCTCCCAGGTTCAAGCAATTTTCCTGTCTCAGCCTTCCAAGTAGCTGGGACTATAGGGGCATGCCACCATGCTTGGCTAACTTTTCATATTTTTAGTAGAGATGGGATTTCACCATGTTAGCCAGGATGGTCTTGATCTCCTGACCTCATGATCCACCCACCTTGGCCTCCCTTAGGGGTGGGATTACAGGTGTGAGCCACTGCACCCAGCCAGAAGCACAGTTTCTTTAGGCCCCATCTCAGATCTACTGAATCAGAAACTCTGATGTTGGAGCCCAGCAACCTGTGTTTTAAAAAGGACTCTGGCTAATTCTTATACACTAAAATTTAAGCACCACTAATAGCATGAATTCATCCACTACCTTGCCAGCACTTTAACGACTTTGGCTGGCAAAGAACAGTCAACCATAAATACATTGTTATTTTACTTCAAACCCTTCTATGTATAAGATTTCTAATGATTTAACAAGTTTTTCAGCTGTATCCAGCATCCACCTTTTATATGCAATCTCTACCTTCAATCCAAACATTTTATTGTAGTTACTATTAATCTAAATGTTGATACTGTAAAACTGTTAAGTGTCCATCACTTGATACTTCCAAAAGTATTTTGCTTAGAACCATCCTCTGGGAAGGATTCTGAGCAATGCTGACTTACTCAAGGGGACATATATAGGAAAGGGCGAAGATAAGATTTAAACTCAGGTCTAGCTGAATATAAAATCCATTCCTGTATGCATTTTGCTGCAGAATGTATGAAACGACCACCAAATCAACAAACCATTTCATTCTAGTTGAAGTAGCACTTAACCAATGAATGCTCTATAGAATTTTAAAAAATGAGTGTTATATAAAAATCTATTCTAAAATAACTTTGGTAAATATCAGGTTAAATCATCTTTCTTAGTGTAGGACTTCTAAGAATCTTTAATGTACTGTTGTATATTTTGATTCTTCAAAAATCAGATATTGTATGATGTTGTCCAAAATTATTTGACCAATGAACCATTTGTTTGTGAATCATCTAGATTAATATTTTATATCACTAGTGTTCTAAAAGAGGCTATGGAAAATTTGGACTTAATCTATTTACTTTCTTTTCAAGACATGTGGAATTTCTTATCTCTTTTATTTCATCTGCTTTCACCCTCTGTTTTATTTTGCCACTCTTTTGAACTAGAATAGTCATGCCCCAATTCCCCAAAAGGCATAACTTTCTCCCTCCTTCAAAGATAGTCTCATATTCTTCTGCCTCAGGCTGGGTTCAGAGGAATCACATTTAGCCTGTAATGCTATGAACCAGACAATATAGTGTGTGTACATATATATGTGTACACACACACACACAGAGAGAGAGAGAGAGAGAGAGAGAGACACACACATATACATGCACATACACAGACACACACATATATATACTATGCCATGAAATCATATAGCTTGATAATATGGTACTAATTTATAATTTTGTAGCATCACAGTAAGTAGCATGTACATATCTGGGACTGAATAAGCTGTGTTGGGGCACAGTCTGCAGAGCAGACCATGGCTTTCCTGCCTGACACATGCTGGGCTTCACAATTATGACTGCAGTTTGTAAGGGATCTTCCCACAGACCACATACATACACAGAACACCCTCTAGAGGGGCATTTTGCTTTGGATTTTATTGGAAAAATTACCAGAACTTTAAGTGGAAGATGGCTGAATAATGGAATGAGGATATACACACTACTAAGTAGTCAAAATATAGAATTCTAGCACCATACATACTATAAATGTAGTTTTGATATTAATTTCAATTAATCTTCACTAGAAATTGGTTAAAGCACTAGGAAATGGTGTTTAATAATTATTTTTCCTGGCCTGGCATATTATCTCTGTTTCTTTCGTTGTGCAGGTTCTGCTGATCTGCTTCTTTGCGTTCCATGCTCTTCTTGCCCTACACTGGTCTACTCTGGTATGTTTGATCAGGGCACTTAATATCAAGGTCAGGTAATGATGGTACTTTCTAAAATTGCTCAGGATTTGTATTTTTAAAAATACCTAGTCCTCATGACCTCTAATGAGAATAGGTTTTTCTCCAAGTAGCCTGCAAAAGATTATAAGATTTCTCTCTCTCTCTCCCTCTCTCTCTCTCTCTCTCTCTCTCTCTCTCTCTCTCTCTCTCTCTCCCTCTCCTCATGTGTGTGTGTATGTGTCTTTTCTACAGGTTTCAGAGTTCTCATTTAGTCTCCATTCTCCCTTGCTAAGGTGGGAGGATGGGTGTTTTAAACTCTTTCTCCATGGCAGGAATAATAATATCTTCTAGATAGATAAGAGCTAAAAAACATATTCTCCCACATGTAGGCCATGGACTCTATGATGGTATTATATATTCCCTGCAGTTATAGCATCTCAGAATAATTTCACATCCATGAATGTGAGGCTACTTTATGAACTACATACACAAAAATAGAAAAAAAAACACTGTATCATCTCTTAAATATGTTTCAGAGAAAAGCAAAGGTGTTGAGTTTATCCTTACCAGTCATAGAATCACAGAATATCAAACTGGAAAGAACTTAGAACCAGCTACTTCTTCCCTAGTCTAATGCTAGCCTTTTCTCTGCAATACCCCTACCAAATGGTCACCCAGACTCTGCATAAACACTTTGATTAATGGGGAGATTACTGTTACCGTTGGCTGCTAATTCAGTTTTGCTCTGCTGTAATTGCTCATTGACTCAATAATTCTGCATTAGAACGTTACCTAAAGAAATAATTTCTTCAATGCAGTATGATATAGCTATCAGAATATTATGTTCTTTGCCACATGTTTTATAACAAAGCATGAAAATGTTTTACAAGAAAACATAGAAAGCATGTAAAAAATAGAAACAACCTAATAATAATAAAAAAGAGATTGGTTAAAAAATTATAGCAATCTGTATATTAGAAAGCTATGAATCCATAATGAAGGATGAGATATATATTATTGGATATAGGTACACAACATGTACCTATACGGTTATAAAAGTACCTATACCTCATGTGGTTCTGTTCCTCAGCCATCAAGCACGCTTTGTATGACATACAGGCATACTGCTGCTTAGTTCAAGAGCTCTACCAAGTAAATAACTCATGTGATTTATATTTAAAACCTATAATGGATCAGGAACTACTGTCAGAGAATAGCACATGTCATTATCATGGGTGATACAGCACCTATCACAGGTCTTCTCATATGGAACTTACTAAATTGTGGAGAAGACACACAGTGAACAGCTATTTACACAAAATGTTGTTGATGGTGATTATAGAAGCATGATAATGAGTATGTGCATCAGGAGAGTTCTAGCTTGACTAGTAGTCAAAGGGTAAAAAGAAAGTAATGTCTAAGGGTAAAGCATAAAGGAATGAAAGATGTAGTTGATAAAAGAGTTAGCTGGGGTTGGAGTAAGTAAAGCATTCCAGATAAATAAAAAGTGTGTGCAAAAACAACTAGATTCTCTTTCCCCTCTTTCTCTTCCTCCTTAACTTTGTTTCCTCTCTTTCATCAAATAAATATTTATTAAGCAAATGCCACATACAAAGCATTCTTTTAGGTCCTGTGAGTAAGATGGAGATTGAAGTTCTTCCTTCAAAATATTTATGGTAAATCAAAAATATTAAATATAACTATGATACAATGCAGAAAAAACATGTAAAATATTCTAGAAACTTGAATATTTTCCCTTTCCATATGTATTACTCTGTTTTCACACTGCTATAAAGACATACCTAAGACTGGGTAATTTATAAAGAAAAGATGGTTAAGTGCCTCATGGTTCAATATGGCTGAGGAGGCCTCAGGAAACTTACAGTCATGGCAGAAGGCAAAGAGGAGGCAAGGCACCTTCTTCACAAAGCAGCAGGAAGGAGAAGTGGCGAGTGAAAGGGGAAGAGCCCCTTATACAACCATCAGATCTCCTGAGAACTCACCCCCTTTCACAAAAACAGCATGGGGGAGTTCATACCCATGACTGAATTACCTCCATCTAGTCTTGCCCTTGACACATGGAGATTATGGGAATTGTAATTCAAGACGAGCTTTGGGTAAGGACACAAAGCCTAACCACATTGCCATCTAATGTGATTAGAACTTATACAGATATCAGAAATTGACATATCGGCTGCAAATATGATTAATAGAGGTAGTATTCTAATGTCAATATCATTGTAAAAGTTCATTAGAATAGAGGAAATCATTAAAGTCTCAATTTTTCTTTTTAATATGCTGTAATGTAGACATGTTATTAAGCACATTTTCTTTTGTTTCATTTCTCCTCTGCAGGTTTGTGAAACAGACAGAAGTTGCAAGTGGTCCTTAAAGAAACTGCAGTTATTCAAATCCTTATCTATAGTTCTAATTTTATTTACTATGTGTAATCATTTAGAGAATGGTTATTTTTATAATCTCAATAATAAACAAGTACTATTGTAACCAGGGGGTGCTGAAGTATATAATCAGAGAACATTAATCCTGCCAAAGGATTATGGGTGGTCAGGAGGCCTGCAGCCTTTTGGCATGGTTAGTGTCTTGGATTTAGATTACTTTATACATAGTTATCAAGATTAATATTTGATATATTAAATATTGCCTGATTCAAATAACTTCGCTTAAAATTTTTCTGTATTTTAACTTGTCTAGGGTTTTCTACTTCTTCTATTTTTATAATATTTTCTCATTTTTTAGATTAACAAACATTATACTTATCCACATGTGCCAAGATGTGACATTTAGGTCTCTGCAGATGTTAGCTGGTATCATCACCTGCCATACATGTTGTGTGCAGCAGTAAGAAGTATATTCTCCACCAGTGCTCCTTCTCATGATTATTTTCTCTATTCCTATCAAAACAAATAATTGGTATGTTAATTCAATAAAGCAAGCCAATAAGGAATGAAATGCATGGCCCAAAACATAGACAATAAAAATTATTTGACCATTTATCCAATTATTGAACCCAATTAATATTATCCATTTTAAATTTAGTATATTCTTGCTTTTTGAATGTGTTGTGCATTGATGCTAAGTGAATGGATCTAAGTAAATTTATTGAGTATCTCTACTGTCTGTTTTATTTGTCTTAATCTAAGTGTTCTTTCTGGACCTTTACAACATAAGGTTAAATTATAAAACTGTGTAACTGTCAAGGAAACAAATGTTAAAGGCCAGAACATGGATAAATAATAAAAAAAATTCAGATTGTACAAATTAAGTCAATTCCCTAAATCAAGTAATATAACAGTTTTTCTTCTGTTAATATTTTCTTGTGTATAGAAACTCATGTAACTCATTTTTATAAAACTTTCGTGTTTTATAGGTAGAAAAAAGGAAGGTTTAGAAAAAGTAGATTTTTTTAGTCAGAAAGGGGAGAAGGCAACACAGTAAGTTTATGGGACCAGAACACTCCTCTATTTAAAAATTCTTGCCATGAGGAATATTTCTTCAAAAATGTTCACCTGAGGATCCAAATGCTTTTTCTATTGGAAATATTTTTTCTTTAAAATGTCACCCCTAATGCTTTCATCGGAGCCACACTTTCCTCCAACCATTGCCTGGTTGGTTTTCATCCTCCTTTTGCTCACTGAGGTGGGCGGGTATTGAACAATGAGAACACATGGACACAGGGAGGTGAGCACTACACACTGGGGTCCGTTGGGGGGAAATGGGGGAGGGACGGGGGGTGGGGAGGTGGGAAGAGATAGCATGGAGAGAAAGGACAGATACAGGTGAGAGGACGGAAGGCAGCAAACCACACTGCCATGTGTGTACCTATGCAACAATCTTGCATGTTCTTCACATGTACCCCAAAACCTAAAATGCAATAAAAAAGAAAAAAGAAAAAAAATCCCTACCAATGCCCTTCTTTTCCCTCAGATATCCCCCTTGGAACAGGAGAAATAAAAATTGATTAATATTTTCAACTTATCAGAAATAAGGCTTGCTTTCCAAAATTTCTGCACAGGGTCAAAAATTCACAGCAATGCTAATGTTCAGGACAGAAAGTGTGCAGGTGGGGTGGAGCAAGATAGCAAAATAGGAGCCTATACTATTTGTCCCCCACTGCAGGAACATCAGATTTTAACAACTACCTGCATGCAGAAAAGAAGAGTCACAAGAACCAAAAACCAGGTGAGCAATCACAGTACCTAGCTGTAACTTCATATTGCTGAAAGACGCAGTGAGGAGGGGAGGAGAGACAGTCTTGAATCACTGATGCCACATCTTCCCCAGTATACAGCAACAGCCATGTGGCACAGGGACAGAATCTGTGCATTTGGAGTAAGGAATTACCTATCCCACAGTCAGGGCTTGAGTTTCCCAGCAAGCCTTCCAACTGTGGACCAAAGTGCTCTGAGTTCCTAGGTAGACTGAAAGGGAGTCTAGGGCACAAGGACTGCAATTTCTAGGCAAGTCCTCATGCTGGGCTGGGCTCAGAGCCAGTGGACTAGGGGGCTGAGGAAGTGCTTGTGCCAGCCCTCCCCCAATCCCAGCCAGCCGCAACAACTGTGCTGGCAGCAACCAAAGTGACTGACTCCTTTCAGCTTAAGGAGGGGAGAGTTAAGAGTAAAGAGGACTTTATCTTGCAACTTGGGTATCAGCTCAGCCACAGGAGCATAGAGCACTGGTCAGAGTCATAACACTCCCCATTCTAGACCTTGGCTCGTGGAAGACATTTCTAGACACATCCTGGGCCAAAAGAAAACCCACTGACTTAAACGGAAAAACACAGTCCTGGCAGGATTTATCATGTGCCCACTGAAGAGCCCCAGGGCCCTGAATAAGCAGCAGCAGTAACCAGATAGTATACCATGGACCTTGGGCTCTGAAACATACTGATTTCAGGTGTCTCCAAGCAAATTCCCAGCTATGGTGGCTACAACGAACGATTCCTTTTGCTTGAGAAAAGCAGAGAGAAAAGTAAAGGGGACTTTGTCTTGCACCAGTTGAACCACAGTGGGGTAGAGCAACAAGCAGGCTCTTGGGGTCCCCAAGTCCAGGTCTATGCTTTTGAACAGCATTTCTGGACCTGCCCTAGGCCAGAGAGGAGCCCATTCCCCTGAAAGGGGAGTCTCAGGCTTGGAAGCTTTCACTACAGCCTGACTGATGAGCCCTTGAGCTTTAAGTGAACATCAGGGAAGGCTTGGAAGAACTTGCTGTGTGCCGGTGGTGGTGGTGGTGGCCACCTGGAGAGGCTCCTGTACTTGTGAAAAGGGGAAGCAAGAATATGAAAGACTTTGTATTGTGGTTTGAGTGCTAGTTTAACCATAACAGAGTAGAACACCAAGAAAATGTCTAAAGTTTTTTACTCCAATCCCTGGCTCCCAAACAGCATCTCTGGACTCACCCAGAGCCTAGGGAAACTTATGCCCTGTAGGGATGGATATAAAATTGGCTACTTTAACCACCTTCTGGTTGTAGAGCCCTAGGGCCTTGAATAAACATAGAGCTTATCATCTCACCCCAGTTAAAATGCCTTTTATCCAAAAGACAGACAATAACAAATGTTGGAGTTGATGTAGAGAGAAGCGAACACAGTACACTGTTGGTGGGAATGTAAATTAGTACAACCACTGTGGAGATCAGCTTAGAAGTTCCTCACAAAACTAAAAATAGACCTACCATATGATCCAACAATCCCACTGCTGGGTATATACCCAAAAGAAAGGAAATCTGTGCATCAAAGAGATATCTGCCCTTCCATGTGTTCCCAGCACTGTTCACAATAGCCAAGATTTTGAAGCCACCTAACTGTCCATCAGCAGATGACTGGATAAAGAAAATGTGGTACATACACACAATGGAGTACTATTCATCCATAAAAAAGAATGAGATCCTGTCATTTGCAACAACATGGATGGAATGGGAGGTAATTGTGTTAAGTGAAATAAGCTAGGCACAGAAAGACAAACATGTTCTCACTTATTTGTGGGATATAAAAATCAAAATAATTGAACTCATGGAGACAGAAAGTAGAAGAATGGTTACTAGAGTTTGGGAAGGGTAGTAGGCAATGGAGGGCGAGTGGGGATTGTTAATGAGTATGAAAAAATTGAATAAGACTCAGTATTTGATAGTACAACAGAGTGACTATAGTCAATAATAATTTAATTGTTCATTTTTAAATAACTAAATTAGTATAATTGGATTGTTTGTAACATAAAGGATAAATGCCTGAGGGGATGGATACCCTATTTTCCGTGATGTGATAACTATACATTGCATGCCTGTATCAAAATATGTCATGTACCCCATAAATATATATACCTACTATGTACCCACAAAAGTTAAAAATCAGAACTTTAAAAAAAAAAGACAAATTTTCATTAGTCATAAACTATTGCAATAGAGAAGTAGGTCCAGTGTGAACTGAACTGAACTTTGATTTGCACAAAGGTGACTAGGCCTCATAGAGGAAGAATGAGGAGCTAGGGAGGGGGAACAGCAAGAGCTTGAGCAGAATCAGGGAAGGGGACATTTACAAAATGTGAGAAAGTGGGGTTGGTCCACGTGGAGCTATCTGGGTTTGCTAACTGATGCTTATAAAAGTCAGATTCCTACCCTCCCTCAGAGACTGGGAGAAAGGGACCCCATTAAAGTGTTGGCCAAAACAAAATAGTAAAATTGTCTTACAGCCTTGAGCTTTCTCAGTCAGGAACTTATGGTTCTGGAGTCATCATCCTAGGACATATCCTTGAGCTGTTAGAAACTATGTTAATATTTGTTGAAGTCTTTTAATGTGGGGGACGGGGTAGATGAAATTGTTTATCTGGCAGTTTTTCTAGGCCAAGGTTGAAGGTTAGTTGAAAACAGGACTGAGAGGAGCCTGACTGGTGTTTAGTCAACGAGAAAATCTTCATCAGCAGCTGTGAGGCAGGACACACACACACACACACACACACACACACACACACACACACACAGACACGCCAATCTCTGCTCTTTCTTTGTCAATGCCTTTAACCATTTTCAGAGGCCAAGTCAAGGCCAGTGAACAGCTAAATACAAAATCAGGAAATTTCTCCAGGTTGCTTCCCAATCTTTTGTTTCAAATGTCACACATGAAACCCGAATTTCTTGGCACCCCTCTTGGCTCCCATTACTCTTTTTGCCTCTTTTGGGTTTCTTGACATAGCTCCAGAGTTACTGCAATGAGGCTTGAAAAACCTACACTAAAAGAGCTTCTCGAAATGCTCCTCAAGTTCCATACTTCAGTATCACTGCCGTGAACAGATGGCTTTAGGTCCCATCTTATGCCATGGCCTCTATGTGTCCCCGAAGGGGGCTGAGGTAGCTTCTGACTTTCCGGACACAGAGATCATCACAGTCTAGTGGGGGAAACATACATATGAACATATAATTTAAGCAAAATGTTGTAGTGTGATATGACAAAGACATTTACAGGCCAGACTACTGTGTGAATATTAAAAAACACTTGTGAATACATCTTGGACCTAGACTTGGAAGTAAGTGAGTTGTGGGATAGGTAGGAAGTCAGAGAAGGCTTCCTGGAAGAGATGATGCCTCAGCAAGTCCTTTAAAGATGAAGCAGAGTCAATGGAGCAATGAGGATAGGTAGGAAGGTCTTAGTGGGTGCAACAAAATAAACCCAGTACAGATGTCTGAGTGGGCAGAGTTTGCATGGTAGTGAGTAGAATAAATGCATGGTATTTAGAGCAGATACAGTGTGATATGATGTAGTAGTTGATGGGTAGAGAAATGGGCAGGGATTGGGCTAAGGAAATTCTCCTATGCCACCCTGTAATCTTCAACTCTGGCTGTTCAGCAGAGTCCGAGATGCTCAGGCCCTACTGTCTAGGATTGAGAATTCAGTTGGACTGAGAGGGATACCAAATCCCTATTTATGAAAAACCTTCTCACTTGATTCTTTTGAATAGCCAAGGATGAAAGCTACGAAAGATTTTCAGCAGGGGAGAGGAGTGACACTACTGGATGAATAGATTAGCTCACCTTGGTAGCTGTGAGTAAAAATGCAGGAGTATGAGAAACAGGACGTTGGTAAGCCTGGAAATAGAGAAACTGGTTAGGGGGCTGTTACAAGACC